ACGAGTTCAAAGCCACACTCAGCAAAAGTGAGGTGTTAAGCAACTCAGTGAGACTCTATCTCTAAATAAAATACAAAATAGGGCTGAGTATGTGGCTCAGTAGTTAAGCGCCCCTGGGTTCAATCCCCAGTGCCAAAAAAGAAAAAAAGGACTTACAAAAGAAAGGTATATATAAGTTGTAGGTGTTGTAGATAGACACAATAACTTTATTTTATTTATTATTTTTATGTGGTGCCCAGGGATCGAACCCAGTGCTTCATGCATGATAGGCAAGCACTCTACCACTGAGCCACAACCCTAGCCCAGCAAAAGAAAGTTTTTTATGTTAATAGTGTGATAGAAAATAGATTTTATGCCAACACCAACTGCATAGTAGTAGCAGCCCAGACAGGACCAAGAAGGGATGTCAGTTTCAGGGTTAAAAGATGAGCAAAGGCTCCTCCATTTTTCCCATGTCCTACCCCACCCCATCCCCATTGTGCATCAGCATTCACTTATTAAAAAGAATCTCACCAAGTGACTGAGGCTGGCCTCCATTTGTAATTCTCCAGTAGCTAAGATTATAGGCCTGCACCACCCTGTTTGGCTCTTTTTTTTTTTTGTACTTGAAATTGGACACAATATTGAACCCAGTGCTTCACACATGCTAGGCAAGCGCTTTACCGCTGAGTCACAACCCCAGCCCCTGTTTGACTTTTAATAAACTACGTTTAGCCATACCACACAACATGTTACTTCAAAACATGTTGACCAGATGCAGTGGCTCACACCTGTATTCCTAGCAACTCAGGAGGATGAAGCAGGAGGATTGCAAGTTTGAGACCAGCCTTAGCAACTTAGCAAGGCTCTCAGCAACTTAATGAGACCCGTCTTAAGATAAAAAATAAAAGGCAAAGCCAGCCTCAGCAACTTAGTGAGGCTTTAAAGCAACTTGGAGAGACACTGTCTCTAAATAAAATATAAAAAGGACTAGAAATGTAGCTTGGTGGTTAAGCAACCCTAGGTTCAATCCCTGGGATCAAAATAAATAAATAAATAAAAATAAAAACAGCTTAGAATTTACCTCAGTGATAAATTGCCCCTGGGCTGAATCCTCAGTATCAAAAATAAATAAATAAAACCATTTGTATAAGATAAATAATGTACAATATTGTGATTTTTTTTTTCATTTTCTTTGATGAATGACAAAGCATTACATTGCAAAACCTAAAGTAGATGATCAAAGGCTCTCAAATATGTGCAACCTTAAAAGTATTTACTGGAAAACACAAGATACAAATGAATCTGACCTTTTTTGTGGGGGAAGTTATCTCCCTATGAATAAGAGAATCTAGTTGTCAAGTCCCATATAAATTTCTATTAAGACTTTGTTAAAATTTATAGATTTGGTGATAACTCAAATGTGGACATTATTGGCCACAGAAATTTATAATATTGAGCAATCTTTTCAAGAACCAGTTTCTGATTTTGTTTTACAAGACTAGGATTTTACCCAAGGCCTTGGGTATGCTAGGTAAGCTCTCTACTACTGAGGTATATCCCCACACCCAATATTATTATTATTATTATTATTATTATTTTTTGAACCACAACTTGAACCTAGGGGTGCTTAACTAATGAGCCAGACCTTTTTATTTTTTATTTTGAGACGGGGTCTCACTAAGTTGCTGAGGCTTGGCTTTGAAATTATGATGCTCCTGCCTCAGCCTCCCAAGTCACTAGGATTACAGGACTGTGCCACTATGCCTGGTTCAGTTCTTACTTTTTGATGTTTATTAAGGTTTTCTTTGGGCTTCATTTATGAACAAACGTTACCAGTAACTATTAATAGTGTTACGGATAAGAATTTATTCAATCACATTTTTTATTGGTGATATATTGGAATTCTTTCTGGCCATTTTATTTTAGGTTTTGTTTTCCCCAGAAACCAACAGTGCTTCCTTCAAGTGAAAAGGTCCAAGTTCTTGACATAAGAGTAGGGGGGAAAAAATCATATGCTAAATTTGCTAAGATCTAAGATACAATAAAATATTTTTAATAGCTAGGTGTCCTGACATGTTCCTATAGTCACAGCCATTTGGAGGTCAAGGCAGGAGGATCACTTGAGCTCAAGAGTTCAAGGCCAGCTTAGGCAACACAGTAAGACTCTTGTCTCAGAAAATAGGGGCTGGGGTTGTGGCTGTGCAGTAAAGTGCTTGCCTAGCACGTTCGAGGCCCTGGGTTCAATCCTCAGCACCACATAAAAATAAATAAATAAAACAAGGTATTGTGTCCAACTACAGCTAAAAAATAAATATCTTTAAAGAAAAAAGACTCTTGTCTCAGAAAATAAATAATAAAATATCTTGAGACCACATCCACATAACTTTTATTATATTGTTAAAGTTATTTTTAATTATTGTTATTAATCTCCTATTGTGCCTAATTTATATATTAAACTTTATCATGGGTATGGATACACATGAAAAAAACAGCATATATAGGATTCAATAGGACCTGTAGTTTCAGGCATTCAGTGACAGTTGTAGAACACATTCCCTGCAGATAAGGGAGGTCACTACAGCGGAACTGCGGTACTGCTAGTGATTTTATGAAACATGTAAGCATAAGTTCATTACATGCGCCACTAGTCATGCCCCTGAATTTACACATTGAAATGTAGGACACAGTATTCTATTCTTTTACTATTTTTGTTTGCTTTTTTGCATTTCTATTAGAGAATAACACTGAGATCTGAGGACTTTATAATATTACATATAAAAGTTTTACTATCAATGATTTTTAATTTTGTTTTTGTTTTTTTGGTGGTGCTGGGGAAGGAGGTGGAACACTACCAATGAAATTTACTCCACATTATTAAAGAGAGTATTTTTCCTGACATGGGCTCACTGTGGCCAAAAATCATTTATAAGGAAAATATTCAGTGAAGCAACAGCACAAGATTTCATCAGTTTAGTTACTGTCAAAATAAAGATGAGTTTAAAAAATTAGTAATATCTTATTAAATACTTTAATAGGCAGTCAAAAGCTTAAATTTTTTAAAAAACTGATATTGAAAAAATGTAAACACAGTTAGGCACAGGGGTGCCCACCTATAATTCCAGTGACCTGGGAGACTGAGGTAGGAGGATCACAAGTTTGAAACCAGCCTCAGCAACTTACCAAGACCCTGTCTCAAATAAAGAATAAAAAAGGGCTGGGGATGTAGCTCAATGTTAAAGTGCCCCTAGATTCTATCCCCAGCACCAAAATAATAGAAACAAGAAAACTATTATGATCTTATTTCAGCTAATTATGGCTGAGTTACAAATTACCCCAAAACATAGTGGCACAAAACAGCTAATTTTTTTGGTTCACAGGTTCAGGGTGAGGAATTCAGGCAGCGCACAGCACCCAAGTCTTATCTTTGTTCCACAATGACTGGGGCCTAAAGAGGAAGACTCATAAGGCTGGGGCCAAATTACTTGGTGACTCCTTCAGTCACCTCTGGCCCTGGACTCAGTAAAGACTATCAACCCTGGCACAGACACACAGCCTCTCCATGCAGCATTTTACTTTTTGCAGTTGCCCAGGCTGGCTTCAAATTTGTGGTCACCCTACCTCAGCCTCCTGAGCAGTTGGCATTACAGAATATACCATCACACCTGGCCCAGCTAGTAATTCTCAATCACAGACATGAACCTCAAAATAAATTCCCAGTAGGACATGGTAACACACCTATAATACAAGCTATCTGGAAGACTGAGGAAGGAGGCCAGCATGAGCAATTTAGCAAGACCCTGTCTCAAAAATTAAAAAACAAAACGGGCTAGGAATAGGGGCTAGAGCTGTGGCTCAGTGGTAGTGCACTTGCCTGGCATGTGTGAGCCACTGGGTTCAATTCTCAGCACGGATATAAATAAATTAAAAAAAAAAAAAAAAGATCTATCAACAACAACAACAAAAATTTTTTTTAAAAAAAAGGGCTATGAATAGAGCTCAGTAGTAGAGAGTAGAGCACCCTTCAGTTCAATCTGTATTGAAAAAAAGAAAAGAAAAGAAAGTATCTGGGTCTTATATATGAATGACCTAAATTGTTCAATAAATAATTTGAAGACTGGGATGTAGCTCAGGGGTAGTGTACTTGCCTAGCATGAGCAAATTACTGGGTTCCAACCCCAGTAGCATATAGATATCAACACATATATGTTTTATATGTGTGTATATGTTTTTTGTTTGTGTTTTCTTTTTTTTTTTAAGAATTTTTTTTTTTTTTTAATATTTATTTTTTAGTATTTGGCGGACACAACATCTTTGTCTGTATGTGGTGCTGAGGATCGAACCCGGGCCGCACGCATGCCAGGCGAGCGCACTACCGCTTGAGCCACATCCCCAGCCCCTTGTTTGTGTTTTCAAATATTGTAAGGTGAGCATGTACTACCAGTTACTCAGAAGGCTGAGGTGGGAGGATCACTTGAACCCAGGAATTCAAGATCAGCCTGGGCAAGATAGCAAGAGAGAGAGAAAATAAAGAACAATTCATATCACAACATTTTGTATACAAAACAAAAATAAATTGGCTAGGTGTAGGGTGCCCATGATTAATCCCAGCAACTCGGGAGGATAATACAGGAATATGCCAAGTTTAAGGCAGCCTGGGCAATGTAACAAGACCCTACCTGTAATCTCGGCTACTGGGGAGAATGACACAGGAGGATTTCAAGTTTAAGGCCATCCTGAGCAACTTAGCGAGATCCAGTCTCAAAAGAAAAAAGACTGGGAGTACAGTTCAGTGGTAGAGAACTTGCCCAGCATTTAAGAAGCCCCAAGTTCCATCCCCAGTACTGAAAACTAAAAAAAAAGGGAAAGAAAAACTAAAACCACTGCCACCCAAAAAATTACTTCCGTTGAAACTACGAGGAAAACAAATGAAGTAAAAAGCTTCAGATAACAGAAAGCATATCACGAAAACACATAAGACTTAAACAGTTTTTTAGCCTAAGAAAAGATAATTAACTTACTAGCATGCTTGTCCGCAAGCATTATGAGAGTGTTGGATATATCTCGTCGTCTATAAAAGCACACTACCTTTGCTTCCACGTTGCCACTTGCAGTCTAAGAAATAAGAAAAATTAAAAAGTTACCTGGGGGTTGATGGTACACTTCAGTGATATGGCATGTGCTCAGCCAGATGTGGTGGTATACACATGCAATACCAGCAACTAAGGAGACTCAGGCAGGAGGATCACAATTTCAAGGCCAGCCTCAGCAATTTATCAAGGCTCTAAGCAATTTAGCAAGACTATATCTCAAAATACAGAATAAACAGGGCACAGTGGCACATGCCTGTAATCCCAGCAGCTTGGGAAGCTGAGGCAAGATGATCACAAGTTCAAAGCCAGCTTCAGCAACTTACTGAGGCCCTAAGCAACTCAGTGAGACTCTAAGCACTGGGGATTAGCTCAGTGGCTAAGTGCCTCTGTGTTCAATCCTGGGTACCAAAAATTGTTTTAGAAAAATGGGTTGGGGATGTAGCTTAGTAGTAAGTGCCTCAGGTTCAATCCCCAGTAGCAGGAAAAAAAGAATTTAAAAAACCATGTGCTTAGAATTCACAAGGTCCTGGATTTGTTTCCCAGGATTGAAAAAACAAAAAAGTTACCAAACTGTCAAATAGTTTATAAAACTAAACTAGATTCAGCACAATTGTAAGATCATTCTCATCAACACTATGCCAAACACAACTACAGGATAACCAAGGAGCTAAAAAGTTTAAAGAAAGGTCAGATGTGGTGGTACATGCCTATAATCCCAGCTACTCAGGAGGCCTAGCAGGAGGATCACAAGTTCAAGGCCAGTCTAGGAAAATTAACTAGACCCTGTCTCAAAATAAAAATATAAAAAGGCAAGAGGGGATGCCTCAGTGGTAGAGCGCTTGTCTCACACGTGCAAGGCCCAGGGTTCAACTCCCTGTGTGTGTGGGAGGGTGATCAAATGAGGATGAGGAATATAATACTCATTCAGGTTCTCCATGTAACCGTGATGTCAAATATAAAATACCTCACCGGCAACAATTCCACTAATATGATTAAATTACTTCAATGATTAAAGCAAGACATTGTTAACTCTGAATAGCCTTAAGAAGTTAATCCCCGCCAAACTTTAAAACCACATAATTTATTTGTAACATGTAAACCTATCTTCTCCAAACCGATTCCCAGAAAGTACAGGCCAAGTCTAAAATCAAAAAGCCCTCCCCTAAAAGCTCATGCTGAACTGGTGGTGAAGCTCTGTAAGAGGGAGTAATCATCATCACAGTGGACTACATGACGTGGAAATGCATCCTTCCAGCCCCAGGGAGTCTACAAGTACATCACAGTCAATATTCTCAGCACTACTTAGTTTATCTTCACACATGAAAGTATAAAAACCTTGAATTATGAGCACTGAAGCTCTTATTTCTTTTTGACTACAGTCTAAGATACAATCGATATTTGGTTAGGCTGTAATTTACTGCAGCTGAGGCCCAGACTCCTATACTCTTATTCTCTATGAATTCTGAGAGCTTTAAAGAAGGTTAATCCTTCATTACAAAGTTCCATGGAAAAATACATAGATTACAATAAACTGCCATTGTAATTTCCAATTTCTAACAAATTTGAGAACATGCTTTCTGAATTTCTCTGGGCTTACAGATACATACTCAAATATAAAGAAATAAGAATATTTATGCGCCACAGTAAATGTCCCAATTTTATGAAGTTCAGCAGCAGTGTTTTAGAGAAATAGTACTGCAGAAATATTGCCCCTTAAAACTGAAATTGTATTAAATTCCTAACCAAAATGTTTCTATATTTCACAGTATTGTGATCAAATGCATCCTCCAGAAATAATGATCCAGCAATCTGCTAAATGAGCAGGCAAATATTGCTGTGTAAATAAAATCTATCTGTGACTTCGGCTATAAGCTTTTTATCAGTTTTTTCCTCATTAGTGACTTCATCCAACAGGGATATTCTAAAAGGATAATTTTATCTAAACCTGCTTGAAAGATGGGATATAGTTCAATAAATATTCTCAGAACTAAAGATGTAGACAGAATACATGCTTAGCATGTGTGAGACCCCAGGCTCAATCACCAAAAAAGGTAAATAAATAATTCTTTTCTGAACCATGCACACACAATATAATACTCCTCTACCCCTCTACAAAACACATACACACACACACACACACACACACACACACACCCTAGAGCTCTCTTCTGAAGCTTCAGTATTTAGAATACTGGACCACAGCCCAGTGTCAGTCCACAACTGTTACGGGGGTATAATAAAACTATTACAGGGGGTGGGAAGCGGTGGAGCATGCAACTCAGGAGGCTGAGGCAGGAGGATTGTGAGTTCAAGGCCAGCCTCAGAAACCTAGCAAGGCCCTCAGCAATGTAGTGGGATACTGTCTCAAAAATAAAAAATATAGGGATGGGTATATAGCTCAGTTGTTAAGAGCGCTTGCATTGCATGCACAAGGCCCTGGGTTCAATCCCCAGCACCATTAAAAAAAAAAAAAAAGGATAAATAAATAAATATAAAAAGGGCTGGGGATGTGGCTCAGTGGTAAAGTCCCCTGGGTTCAATTCCTAATGCACGTGTACACACATACAAATACAAAGAAATCAAAGTATTCTGCAAATAGTAAAGCTATGTACAAGTATTAACATCACACATTTGAGAAATTCACTAATTCAACAAATATTTAGTGAATGACTTCAAGTATGTGCCAACCATTATTCTAAGGCACTTAAAATTCACTACACACTCTAGTTTGGGAAGATAAGCAATGGAAATAAAGACAAGTGTGTATAGACATGTATGTGTACACATTTAGGGGTGAGGAAGTTTACCAGAAACTGAACCAGTGCCTCAGGCAAGCTAAATAAGCACTCTTCCACTGAACATCCCTAGCCCTGAATTAAGTATATTTGAAGATGGTAAATGACACCTACTTGAACTCTGAATCTTTTTTCTGTGTATGTGTGCTAGGGTTTGAACCCAGGGGGTGCTTTTCCACTGAGCTACATCCCCAGTACTTTCTAGTTTGAGACAAGGCCTTACTGAATTGCTGAGGCTGGCCTTGAACTTGAGATCCTCAACTTCCTCAGTCACTAGATTACAGGTGTGCACCACCATACCCAGCTGGTGAATAGTTTAGAATTGCCTCAGTTCTTACACCAATACCATAAAAAGGAAGCGCATCACAACCACATCCAATAATTCTCAAAGACTGGTCTAAACTTGAGGTCATCCTCTTTATTTGATAGTGGTCCCAAATCACACAATTTTTTTTTTTTTAATACAAAGTCTTTGGATATCCCAGAAGCAAACTGGGGTCTTAAAGTTCTTTAAACAAGTAATAACCTACTAGGCCAAACCTGTCTTCCTGGGACTTAGAACCAAACCAGTCTCCAGATGGTTTTTTTTTTTCTTTTTCCCTCCTGGTCTTTCAGTACTAGGGACTAACCCAAGGGCCTTGTGCAGGCTGGGCAAGTGCTTTACCACTGAGCTACATTCCCAGCCTCCAGATGGCATTTTTGAAGAAAGGTATTAGCCAAATAATCCAAAAGATTCTAACACTATGAATTCTCATAAGCCACACAAATGGGCCTCAAAACAGTCTGGAGAAAACCAGAGAATCAATAGAAAATCTGTTCTCTGCATAGTTAGAACTGCTTTCCAGTGCCTCCACTGCAAAAGCTCATCTACTGAAACAATCACAATGCTTCTTAACATCTGGAATCAGGGACAAACTTTAAAATTTTATTTTACATGGGCCATAGTATAAAAGCTACTTCGTATTTTCAAAACTGTATTCTTGCTAATCTAGTCTAGGATTTTACACGTTCCCTTCACTATTTTCCAACTTGCTCATTCTAAAGTTGGAAGAGAGAAATATGAATTAACTAAAAAGGGAGAAATAAATGACTCTAAATATAAAAAGGGACTGAGTTATGGAAGCAACTTGCTTTTCAAGGCTCTAAGCAATTGGAAGAAATCTGCCAACTTTGTGTCTGTGTGGTATTGGGGATTGGATCCACTGACCTACATCCCTAATCCTTTTTTTTTTTTTTTAATTTTGAGACAAGGGTCTGGCTAGAATTACCCAGGCTAGCTCAGAACTTTTGATCCTCCTGCCTCAGCCTGCAGAGTACCTGGGATTACAGGCGTGCATCACAGAAGAATCCTGCATAACTCTCTAATCTGAAATCTCTACTTCAAGAGAGTCTAGGACCTCTTAAGCCCTTTATCCAATTACCCTTCAGTGGAAAACACATAGTTTTTAATATTAGAATCAAGAACATTCAGTCTGTACCTTGTTAAGTTCTTCTATTCTTCTGATTAGGTATGGGTTGCTGGAAGAATTCTCAAAGTAGACATAATCTGTAATTAAAAGAAGTTACAGAATTTAATCTTTTCAATATAAAGCTCACATTTGGCAATGTACCACTTATTAAGTTAGTAAGAACTTAATCCATTCACTGGTAATGCAACCTTAATAGAGTCTCTCTTGTGTGCACTCTACATATCTTATTTTCCTGGCATTTTCATTTCAATTCATGTTTCAGCAAGTTCTTCCTGACTTTTGTCCTACAGTGTCATTTCTCCAATAAACTAAGACACCTCTCCTCATCACTGAGTAGTGAGGGCTTGCCAAATATGTCCTGTGTACACAGCTTCCACATCTTTTCCCTCCAATCCAATTTGCTCTGGAGTATGCTCCTCATATAAAATTGTTGACCTCAGACAAATTCAGAGCAAGGAAAAAAAGCTTAACAGCCCAACCTACATTTCAATCACTAACTTTGAAAGAAAAAAAAAAAATCACGTGAGCTGAAGCAGGTAAGAAACACATTGACAAACTTTTCTAAAGCTCTACTTGGGAAGATTACCAAGGAGAGGAGAGGGTCATTTGCAGAGGCAGAGCCTTTTGGGGATGCTATTGGAATCTTTTCATCCTTTTACCATATTTAATTCAGATCCATTTAGACTGTGGATTATAAAGAAGTCGTTGCAGGTTTTCAACAAAGAGGACAAAAATTTTCTAGTGTGGCTTCTCCTCTCATCTAGTAGGCTCACAGAAAACTTCCCACTGTGTGTTTATTCGAGGCTGGAATGAACTATTACATGTCTACCTTAGTGGCTCTTACCGTCTCTCCTCTGCAAAGTGGCCTCATTTAGCCAGGCCATTCCCACCACCATCCATCAGGAACTCGGCTAATGAGCACAGAAGAGCAAGTCTCACACACAAGCACGCCACTTATCTGAATTATTATTTTACCAGGAAAGAGGGAGGAGGGCGTCGTGAGCAGGGAGAAAGTTTGTTTGACCTTATTTCTCTCTTCTGCAGAAGGCTGGGAAGGCAGGCAGCAGAGGAAAAGTCCAGGCTGCGCTCAACTCCCCTCTCTGCCTGAGGCTTCCTGGCCCCCCTACACCCCACTCTTGGGGGGTCTGGTCAAGAAACGAGGTGGGGGGGCAGATGTGCAGGGCCCTGGCCCTGCAGACAGGCCTGTCCAGCTAAGCCCTAGCAAGGCCCCCCTCGCGCCCAGCCCCACTCCCACAGAAGGGGGTAGTGGGGGAGGGGATGTCCCCGTGCTCCCCAGCCCCCAGTGCCTAGAAGCCAGGCGGGGAAAAGGCCACCTGGGTAGGGGGCTCGACGGGCCCTGCTCCCATGGGGTTTCACCGAGGTGGGGGATGTCCGATTCATGCCTCCAAGTGGAGGCCCGGCCCTTGGGGCCCGGGCAGCGCTGGGGCGGCCGGTGGGCCCCGGCCCGTGCGGCCCCCGGGGGGAGGGGAGGTGGGGGCGGGGAGCCCCGACCCCTGAGGGCCCCGGCGCCCCCCGCCCCTGCGCCCCGCGCTCCGGCGCCCGAGGCTCCCGGAGGTTAGCTGCGCTCGCCCGGACCCCCCACTCCCTCAGCCCGCTCCCAGACGGGCCGGGTCGGGCCGAGCCTTCCTACCTCCGACCCGGTACATGTTGGCCGCCATGTCCGCCCGCCCGCCCGCGGAGCCCGAGCAGAGCCCCGCCCGCCGCCGCCGCCGCCGCCGCCGCCGCCGCCTCAGCCTGGACCGCCGCCGCCGCCGCCTCCTCGCCGCCTCGCCGCGGGGGGAGGGGAGGGAGGGGACGGAGGGAGGGGAAGTGAGGGGAGGGGACGCCGAGGGGTGGGGGCTGGTGCCCGCCCCCAGCGCCGGGCCGCAGAAGCCTAGTGGGCCGCGCCTGGGGAGGCCGGAGAGGCCCGAGCGCCGCGGGGCCCGCGGGAATTGGGGTGGGGAGAGGCAGCGGAGGCTGGGGGTCTGGCTGGAAGCGGAGGACCCCCGGGCCGGGGTGCTGGCCAAAGCAGAAGCCTCGCTCGCAGACGCGGGCCGGGGGCTGTTGGAGAAAGGCGACGGGACCTGAGCTCGGCCTCTCCGGGCGCCTTCTGGCCCACTTTGAGTACTCGGCCACCTGCCCACCCCGAGACAGGTTCTCCTTCTCTGACCCTGGGGAACCCCACTGTGTGAGACCTCAAGCGCCTGAGCGCCAGTCTAGGTGCAAACACTTGGATGCAAATAAGTGCAGCAGCAGGGCGCCTACCTCGTGGTGAGGTTTCTGTGATGACTTACAGCCCGCAGGCTTTGGGCCAGGAAGACCCCTGTGCTTGCAGCTTTCCGCTGTCAGACCCACACGGGGACAGGGCTAGAAAAAACGACTCCCTTCTAAGGACACCCCTGAGTGCACTGGGCTGAACAGAGCACTGCAGGGTTCCCCCCATGCTGGGCTGCACTGAACCAACTCCCCCACACCCTGAGGCCCTGCCTCCAAACAAGGCCAGCACGTGCTTGGATGGGAAATTAGGCCTCCAGTAGCAAGGGGGGGGGGGGGGGGGTTCCTTTGTCTACTGGGAAACTTGGCCCTACAGTGCACCTTCACACACACCCGAAAGGAGAAGATATTGTCAATCATTTTGCTATTAGATGGACAATTAGCTGGTTAAGTGCCTAAAGCTTTTTTTTTATTTTTTTATTTTTAGTTATAGGCGGGCCCAACATCTTTGTTTGTATGTGGTGCTGAGGATCCAACCCGGGCCGCATGCCAGGCGAGCGCGCTACCGCTTGAGCCACATCCCCAGCCCCCATGCCTAAAGCTTTTAACTGGTTATTTTCTGCCTGGTTATTCCCCCCTGGATGTGGTGGCACATGCCTGTAATCCCAGCAACCAGGAAGGCTGAGGCAGGAGGATGCAAAGTAGACTCCAGCCTCAGCAATTTAGCCAAGACCCTCTCTTAAAATAAAGAAGGGCTGACTGACATGTAGCTCAGTGGTAAAGCACCCCTGGGTTCAATCCCCAGTAGGGGGGAGGGAGGCGGGGAGGGGGGGCTATTCCCAGACATGGATGCATAGTAAACATGAAGATGATGGCTGGCTGTTGTGATTTGTTTGGATTGTCTGGTGACATAGCCTTGTGCTTCTGACTCTGGGTTTGAAACAGCAGGGTAAGAGACTTGGCCAAAAGAGAAGATTGTGTTTTGGTTGCCTCTCGTGATGGTCCCTTACCACAAGTATTGAGGTGAAGAAAATAAGAAAAAGTGCAGCACCTTTGCTTGAATTACATGGACTGTGACCTGTTTCCTCATCTGTAATTGGGACACTCACTCCACTTCACAGGTGTGCTAGGAATCCGTTGTGATGATATCTGAAAATGTTTTGTAAGTCAGAAAGCATAAAGTACTATGCAAATAGCAGGTGTTTGTAGCTTTCTTTTTAACCCCAGAAAGCCTCAGATTCCTAAGGGTTTTATGCAATGTGTCCAAGAGCCTGTGTCAGCTCTTCTGACCCAGAGAAGAAATATTCTCTTATGCACACTGTATAGCTGTTGTTCATCATTATATATATATATATATATATATATATATATATATATATTTTTTTTTTTTTTTTTTTTTTTAAGTACAGGAGAATGAACACAGGGAAACTCTACCACTGAGCTTTACCCCCCAGCCTGTTTGATTTTTTATTTTGAGACAGGGTACAGGGTCTCACTGAATTGCTGAGGCTGGCTGGCCTCCTGAGTCACTGGGATTGCAGGCCTATGCCGCCACACCCAGCCACCATACTTCTTTGACTGGAGATCCCAGCAAAAACATATTGTGACATATCTGACATCACTCCATTTCTGAGTTGCCACACACATAGGCTGAATGATTCACCTGAAGTTATACACTAAACTCGAAGCAGTCCTAAGTTTATAGTCCAGCCCTTCCCTCTGACCTAGAATACTCTCAACCACAAAGTCTTTCCCCTAGTGAAAAAGCTACCTGGAAACTATAAAATACAACAACAAAAAAGCTATAGGAACTTTCCCATTATTTTTTAAATAAACAAGCAGTTTGTCCTCAAAATATTTTGTTTTTCTTAGCTCTTCACCTGCCTGTCTAATTTCCCATCTTTGCAATCCTTGCCAGGTGTTTGTGATCACTATACTAACCACAATAAATGTGTCAAAGGTGCCAAGAAAACTCCTCACATCCACATTCAACCCTTTTCCTTAGGAACAGCCTAATACCCTGTTAAAGAAATACCAGAAATACTCCATTAAAGGCTTCAGAAACTTGCAGGGAGAACAGAAGGGAATGATGGTGGGTGGCATGACTGGACGTACTTTTGCTTCTTCCCCTAGATTCTGTAGGGTTTTGTTTATTACAATACTAGGGATTGAACCCCAAGGACACTACCACTGAGCTGTGTTCCCAGCCCTTTTTTAACACCTTGAGACAAGGTTTCACTAAATTGCCAAACTGGCCTTGAATTTGCTGTCCTCCTGCCTCTGCCTGGGTTTACAGGTGTGTGCCACTGTGCCGGTAAGGCTCAATATCTTAAAGAATAAATGTAAATGACTAAATCCCTCTGAGCCTTAAACTCTGCACATTATGATTAGTAAGGAATAGCTGCCTCAAAAGCTTGTGAATCTTAAAGTGTTTGTCACATATTGACAACTTCATATTTGTTAGGTCCCTCCTCTCTATTCCAGCCATCCCTATTCACCACCAAGGAAGAGTTGTCACTCCGACCATGCCAGAAGTCTCAGGGAAAATCTAGCCCTCCTATGGGTAAAATTTCCCTGAAGTGCTCTTAGGATTAAATAAGCATGAGAGCCAGGAGCCGCGCCCCACACCTATAATCCCAGGGACTAGATTCAAGAGACTAGGGTAGGAGTATCACAAGTTTGAAGCCAGCCTGAGTAATTCAGTGAGACCCTGTCTCAAAAAGGCTAGCATTTGACCCAGTTATCCCACTCTTCCATATATACCCAAAGGACTTAAAATCAGCATAACTGAGGCATCCTCATCAATGTTTAAAGCAGCTCAGTTCACAATAGCTAAACTATGGAACCAGCCTAGGTGTCCTTCAAAGGATGAATGGATAAAGAAAATGTGGTATATATACGCAATGGAATATTACACAGCCATAAAGAAGAATGAAATTATGTTATATGCTGGCAAATGAATGGAATTGGAGACTATTGTGCTAAGTGAACTAAGCCAGTCCCCCAAATCCAAAAGCCAAATGTTCTCTCTGATTTGTGAATGCTAGCATAAAATAGCAGGGGGTGGGTGGTGGATTCAAGTACTTTGGATTAGACAAAGGGGAATGAAGGGAAGGGAGGGAATGGGAAAGACAGTAGATGAATCAGAGATTACTTTCCTAGGTTCATGTATGAATAAATGGCCAGTGTAACTTCACATCACATACAATCACAAAAAATGGGAAAGTATACTCCATCTATGTATAATATGTCAAAATACATTCCACTGTCATATAGAACTTAAAAAAATTAAAAATAAAAAAGTTAGGGCTAGAGATTTCAGTGGCAGAGTACTTGTCTAGCATGCTCAAATCCCATGGTTCAATCCCTAGCACCACAAAAAAAATGAGGGGGGGAGGGGGGCGGGCTTGGATGTAGCTCAGTAGTGGGCATCCCTGGTTCTGATCCCCAGTTCCAAGGGGTGGGGAGAAGCATGTGGAAGAGATTATTTGAAGGCCCCAAACAGCCCCTCTGTCAGTCTGTAGTATCCTACCATTTAACTGTAAACAGTGGGTGCTGAGGAAAGTCATAGGGGAGACAGAGTTGGTTTTCTTCTCCGTTTAGCAATGAAGATTTTTAGACATGCAAAATAAATAAGAGGGTGCTGGCCACAGTCTGAGAGTTTCGTAACCCTGAACCTAAGAATGGAGCCTGGGAGACTAGAAAGCAATTAATCTGAAGCCAGAGGCCATATTTGGATGCAGGACTGTATCTTGTTGTTTGTGTTTTCTGGGCAGTTTGTTTCTCTTCTCCCTCTCATTAACTGATGTCTTAGCAAACTTTTTTTGGAGAAGGCCAGTCTGCTCAGATATTCTAGGGAGGCCCTGGGTTTTAAAGGTAGACAAATGAATCCTAGCAGAAAGGAAGGCATGTGACAGCAAGAAGCAAACAAAAGAGCCCCAGAGGGAAAGAAAACCCAGAGTAGGGTGTTGTCTAGCTTTTCTAGTTGAGGAGCTTCTGCTTTCTTGGATCTCCTGGGCTAAAGACATGAAATCCAGGACTAACCCCAGGAAGTCTTGGTTTGGGGAAGTATATATTTTAGGACACCTTAGTTCTCATGCCCTCAAAGAGGAACTCACTCAGCCATTTGATGACATCCATAAGGAGATTCATTCTCTAATGACAATGCTATTTCCCCTTCCATGTAGCAGGAAAAGGACTGCAAGTTACAATGGAGACCAGGAAGAGCCCCTGATGGCCAGCCTAATTGACCCTAGTGTTCACCCCACCCCCATTTTTTGTTTGTTTTGTTTTCTTTTTGTATTGAGGTCCTTTACCACTGAGCCACATCCCCAGCCCTTTTTATTTTGAGACAGGTTCTCACTATGTTGTTTGGGCTGGCCTTGAACTTGGGATCCTCCTGCCTCAGCCTTCCAAGTTGCTGGCATTATAGGCATGTGCCGTTGCCCCCAGCGAGGGTTTCCTTTTTATTATTTTATTTTGTTGAGTTTTATGTTTGTTTGTTTGTGGTGCTGGGGATTGAACCCAAGGCCTTGTGCATGCAAAGCAAG